TCTACTCTCTCTCTCTCTACTCTCTCTACTCTCTCTCTCTCTCTCTCTCTCTCTCTCTCTCTCTCTCTCTCTCTCTCTCTCTCTCTCTCTCTCTCTCTCTCTCTCTCTCTCTCTCTCTCTCTCTCTCTCTCTCTCTCTCTCTCTCTCTCTCTCTCTCTCTCTCTCTCTCTCTCTCTCTCTCTCTCTCTCTCTCTCTCTCTCTCTCTCTCTCTCTCTCTCTGTCTCTCTCTCACCCTACTTCCCCGTCAGATTATCATAGAAAACATATAGAAAAAATATATTAACATATAGAACAGAGAAAAATAATCGAGGACGATGCCGCTGTGGCGACGTACCGCTGTCCGGCGCGACAGCGGACTACTTCTTACACATTATTATTCTATGAAATAAATGCACGGGGTTAACTTTGTTATTCTCGAAACTTTAGTGCGGATTAAATGAATAGAAATCCATTCATAAACGTTAGCGTTAAGGACTACTTGATTATGGATAACTGTATCCGTTCTAGGAATACTGGGTTCGCAATCAAATTACCTCGTAGCATGGCTTACGCGGAAGAATCTTTTTGCTAACATAGAGACTGTTACACTCAGTAGCACTTTCCTGCATGCGCAGTATATCCGGCGTGTTTCGTTTTTTCCCCGGAAGATGCTGATATAGGTTTCTGGCGATAGCACGCGAACGCTCTGTGGTTATAGGGTTCATGAACTGTGAAGGAAACACTTAGCGAGGTGCGTGTCTAAGAAGGTGTATAGAGTCATTTGTGTGAAACGGTAGTGAGACTCAAGAGGATACATTGCGAACTTCCTATACACATGAATACGATATCTAGACTATATATAACCGAATTTGAAAATAAGATTTTCACTTTGTGGTTCGTTTGTATATATTTTGCGCGCTCTCTTTCTCTCTCGCTCGCTCGCTCGCTCGCTCGCTCACTCTCGCCTCACAAAACAATATTCTGTTAATTAACGATATTTTATTTATCCTCGCGAACACGATATTACGATGTAGTGAACGCTCGCGCTCTCTCTCTCTCTCTCTCTCTCTCTCTCTCTCTCTCTCTATGACTTACTGTGAATAGCCAAATTAGGGAGGATTTGCTATAAAACGTGAAATTTAAGAATTTATTGTCAAATTTATTACGTATATTAGAATATAGTGTACAGTCAAATATGAAATGATTTTCGTCCTCTACTTCAATTCTCCCACACATTTTGCAAATTCTTAGTTCGGGTGGTATCGATTTGTGACGCCCTTGTTCAATCATTAGTTTGTGATCGCCGATTCTTATTTTTGTTATGATCGTCCTGGCCTGCTTTGATTTTATTCTGATGAGGTAATCTTCTAGATTGTATTTGGATTTGAATGTTCTGAAGAACCTCAATTTATTTCTCCCCATGGGTTCTATTATCGTTTCTTAGGTCACTAAAAAAGTTATCGGCATATTCTTTTTGAATTAGTGTTTTGATTTGGGCACTAATATTATAGATGTTTCCTATTACTCTTTTATTTCCAACGTCAGCTGATCCGATTTTACCATATTGTTTTAGAATAAGTTCAATGATGTTATTCCAATTTATAATTTTTTTTGGTTGTGACAAAGTTGTAGTCTTATAGAAACTGACCGCTTCTCTGAGAAGGGGGTTCGGGGAAGTAACTTTTGCGTGCTGCCAAAACTTTATCGTTTGTATAACAATTTTGATTAGTTCTGAAAACACTCCGAATTCGGACTTGACCCCGACATTTGATGCTCTACCATTTGTTCCTAATACCCATTTACAAAATTTATTTAGTAGCATTTCGAATGGAAGTCTATTCCACATCGAAAATTTCTTTTGTAATCTGTTATTATCGTTATCCGCGGGAGGGTTTCTTGTTAGATGATACACTTTTGATAAATAATCTGAAGTTCTGAACCCCATATTTCACAACCTTGTATTAGGATTGGGGAGATTACCGCGTTAAATAGTTTTAATGTTGTTTTGACTGGTACTTCGTAATTTAAGAAGTTACAGTGTGAGAATTTGTCTTGTTGTGCAGAAAGTTAGGCGCGCATTTGCCCTAGTAGGTACTAGGTAGGTGGGGGAGCATTTCCCCGAGTAGGTAGGTAGGTGGGGGAGCATTTCCCCTAGTAGGTAGGACGGATTGATAGATATCTCGAAGGATAAACGTAAACTTCATTAAGGTGTAATCACGCTGCCCCTTCCCCCTCTCGTCATTCACCCGTGCACCTCTTCCAGGCCTCTCGCAGCTGCTGCTGCGTGCACGGGTGTATTGTCACGTACTTCTTCGGCGTTCGAAACTGAAAGCGATTGTCGATGACGAAGCCGGCGTGGTGTCGCCTGGGCACGCCAACGGTCTCTGCTAGCATGCCATTCACGTAGACGTCCTCCATCGCTAGCAGCGGCGTCGTCAACGAGGCGACGTACAGCAGCGGCGGCACGTCGCCGCTCATCACGTATCCCGTGCCGGACAGGTAGTCCGGGAACACGTCGCCGTCGAATTCGCGCTGCGACACGTACCACTTGTGCGCTGCGTTGCGTATCGGCGGCTTACGCACCTGCGCATAGCCGAACATGTTTCGCACGGCGTCGGCGCCGCGGCAGTAGCGCAGCAGCTTCGGCGCGTTCAGAAACGTGTCCGTGTCGATCTTCATGACGAAGCGCGCTGCTCGACACCTGCTGGCCGCCACGTGCAGCGCCGTGACGGACTTCATCGTCAGATTTCGATACGCCTCGCGAAAGTCGGCGCGGATGACGTCACCGAACGTTTCGCTTGGTGGGGCGGGGTGCGTCGGCTGCACGCTTGCGTCGTTGGTGGCGGCGGCGTGGCGTCGGCTGCAAGCTGCGTCGTTGGTGGCGGCGGCGCGTGCGTCCGGCTGCAGAGACTGCGCCGTCCGTCGCGCGGCGGCTGCGGTGCTGCCAGCTTGCGTCGTTGGTCGCCGGCGGCGGTGCGGTCGCCTGCGCGCTCCGTCGCCGTGGTCGTACCGTTGCGCGGCGTCGGCGCTGCGAGGCGTCGTCGTCGACGGTCGTTGTTGGCGTAGCGACGGTGCACTGATGACGCGGCGCGGGAATCACCTTGACCTTCACACGACGCTCCGTGACGTTCCCGGCGGCGGTGGGTGCCCGTGTGTTCTTCCCCCTTGGCCAGCTTTTGAGCAGAGATGGATCGAGATTCCGGGAGACTTGCCTTCTCCGACATCGCTGCCCTCGCGTTCTCGCGCAACCCTCTCGCGATGCGTTCCCAGCCGATCACGCCTCGATTCGAAACAATGTTCACTTGTTTTTTGCCGACCCGCGTGCTGCACCCATCTTGCCGCACTCGACGCGCGAGCGACGTTTGTGAGAGCTCTGTTAGCTGCGATTGATTGGCAATCAGCGACTGGTCACGTGCGCCTTGCCCGCGTCGACCGACCGACGCGACGACGAAGCGTGCCGCTAGTCAGCGTCTGCGTCGCCGATGGACGTCATGGCCATCGAGTCGCTGTCGTTCACGTTGAGCAGCCGCGTTGCCTGTTTCTCCCAACTGTCTCCGCTCGCACAAGGACGCGCCCACCGATCTCGCTCATCGTGTTGGGCGAGCAGCGGCAGCCATTGAAAGACGACCGTGGGTGGCGACGAACATGGCCACGCGCAGCCGAAAAGCTGCATCGGCCGCGCACAATATCACTTACTACGCGCGCACAGGTCGCTTTGGCGCCTAGCACTGTCAGCGTACGGCTATCTGCCTCAGGCTTATACGCGAGCGTGAGCGTAAACGTTAGGCGTGTCGACCAGGTTCGTCGGTCCCCGACGGACCCCGGAGTGTTACCTTGCGCTGTGCTGTAGCGCGAGAGGGTATCCATGACCGACCCAAGAGCTGAATAATAGGTATTATTAGCTCTTGATGGCTAGCGTCTAGGATCGTAGGGACGAGGGTGCTACCCCTGCTTCCATAGTTGGCGCACATCTACGCTCCGTCCGATCTCTGTAGTGCTTTCGAACATCAGCAGGGATCTGAATATGCGTCCGTCAGCGCCAGCACGGCCCACACTACATCTAATTTCATGGGGGGCCTCACATTCCGTTTTGAATTCCGGCAGTCGCAGCATCCGCATGCCTAAGTATATGATTCATATATGGCTAGCATGGGTTCAGCGCACAGTGACGACCCGATTACCAATAAGTTATGTCCTCTGATATAACCGCCCTCACACAAAATTGTTTTTGTACGACGTCGCAACTGTACACACTTGCGGAAAATTCCCCCGTATAGTTACCGCGTATGGGTGTGAATATAAATATTTACTCGGTATCAAATTTCATTCAAATTATTTACCTTCCTGGAATAAGACTCACGTCATCGCGGACTTTATATCGCGGTGGCATTGAGTGATCAGGCTGAGCGACATTCACTGGGCAAGTCAATCATAGTGCTGTCACATGCGCGCCCCGTGAATCTAAATGCCCGGTATCTCCATTTGTCTCTTATTCCAACCCGCTCAGATCGGCGCTCTCGTCTCTCTCTCTCGTCTCGCTCCCGTCTCTCTCGATCTTCTCTCTCTTCTCTCTTTCGCTCTCTCTCTCTCTCTCAACACTCTCTTCTCTCTCTCATCTTTCTCTCCCGACTCTCGTCTCTCTCTCTCTCCACGTCTCTCTTCTCGTTCTCTCTCTCTCTCTCTCTCTATCTATCTAGCGATAGTTTCTATCTAATGCAGGGTCTATCTAGGTCACCCCTATTTCCAGAGAGAAAACCGATAACCAAGAGTTTACTGTAGACTCGGATATTCAACTCAGAATGAGAAGCGAGACCAGCATCAAGAACGAGACAGCACTTAGGACTGACGAAGTAAGGCGAGAGAGGAGTAAACAGACCAAGAGCGAAGACGCGGAGCCGACAGACTAGACAGACAGAGTGCTGACCGTCAGACAGAAGACTAGACATGCAGGCCCACACCCATTACAATACCGACATGACAAGACAGACACTAGACCCGACAGACCAGACAGACCATGACACGACAGTGACTCCGCGACCCCCCAGCACATTTGAGAATGACGTAGAGGGAGAGAGAGGAGACGAGAGAGAGACGAGAGGAGAGAAGAGTAGCGTGTGTCGTGTGCGTCATGCGTGCGTGCGTGTGTGTGGTGTGTTGCTGTGTATGTGCTGTCTGTGTGCGCTGCGTTGCGTGCGTGGCGTGCGTGCGTGCGTGTGTGTGTGGTGTGTGTGTGTGGTGTGTGTGGTGTGGTTCTCACAAAAACAGATCACGGAAGTTAGAGTTTACTTGGTTCTAGGCGAAAGCGAGAGAGAGCGAAAAAGGAGAGAATGACATAGATGACTAGGTAATCTTCTTTTATTCTATCTTATCTCAGCGGCACTGCGGAATGGTTAGTAGGTCCTCAACAACGATGCCCCCAACCCCCGATGCGGACTAAACTGACGTAATTTGTACCTTAGAGAAGGCGAGAGAGAAGAGGAGAGCGGGCGAGAGAGAGAGAGAGAGAGAGAGAGAGGGGGGAGAACGAGAGAGATTTAAGATCAGCAAGTTCTTTAGTGAGCCTTCGGAGTCCCCCGTGACCATTCCGGGTTCCGCCGTGACATTCGGGTTCCGTGACATCCGGGTCCCGTGACATCCGGATCCCCAGCATGACACCCTCAGCCGGCCCCCGGTAGACCTATGTTGCATATGACTGAGACCGACGAGAAGAGAGAGCAGAGAGAGAACCGAGGACGAGAGATGAGAAGACGAGACAGAGAGAGGAGAGAGATGAGCAGAGAGAGAGAGAGAGAAGCGCCGAGAACGCGCGAAAGAGCGCGAGAGAAGAGAGAGAGGAGAGAGAGAGAGAAAGAGAGAGAAGAGAGAGAGCGAGAGAGAGGAGAGAGAGAGAGAGCGCGCACAAGTTAGAAAGAGGATGCCGAGAAGAGCTCAGACGAGAGTAGATACGGAAGAGAGAGAGGGAGCATGAGAGGCAGCTCAGGCAGAGAAGAGGAGGCAAGCAGCATAGAGGGGTGAGAAGCCAGAGAGAGAGACGAGCGCAGAGAGAGGAGAGAGAGATAGGAGGAAAATAGGAACCGCCAGGAGAGAGAGAGGAGACCGGACCGGACCCCGCCAGCGCCCACCGCCGAGGGCGCGGCCCAGAACACCTCGGAGAGAGAGAGGCAGACTCAGAGACGACTGAGCGCGACCAAGAGACAGTAGAGACAGTCACTGATAGAGGGAGAGAGAAGAGAGAGAGAAGAGAGCACGCACGAGACG